CATACATACACACTACTCCTATCCCTTACTACAGACACCATCCTGGGAGACCCCAGGTAAGTTATCAAACTATTCTTAAACGGTTTGACTACTTACTCTGGGGATGTGCCTAGGCACTCCTGGCACCATAACCACTACAGAGAGCTGTAGTGATTATTGTGCCTGGATTGTTCCGACTAGTACCCCTCCCAAGGTTAGGTTCCTGATCCGCCCCTGGGTTGACCACTAAACTTGTACATGCTGAAAATATTTGGTTGCTCCATATTGGTTCAAACTTCAGAAATTTCTCAGATCAGAAGAAGGTTGGTTTATTCAGTATGTGGTTGAAATTTGGTTCTGAAATTCAGCCATTTTTCAATTTGAACCTCAGGATATTGACCACAAATATCCTGACTGTACATACAGATGATCATGGCTTGCACTTTTTAGTAGAAATTATAGACAAACAGTGGACAGGACATTAAATCTCGATATTGCTAGCAATAACCCTTTAAGAAGGCAAAACTCTTGACTTGGCAGATGAGCTTACACTCAAGTGGCCACTGGAGTAATACTAAAAACTTCCAGGTATTTAAAAGAGCATAGGGATTTGGGATAGTGAACAAGTAACTATTTTCTTTGTTCTATATTGTATGTATTGGGGCTGATGTGTCCTATTGTCATTGCTGCTGCCCAGGAGAAGTGGGAGTTTGTCTATTGAATTATATCTTGTAGGATCTTCCATTAACTCCATTTTGTACTCCTGTGCATGACATACATTTGTGACATATCTCCTTTAAGATGAAGTCACAAAAAGCAGACAGCCAATTTAGATTTTTAAATTCAATTGAAAATGCAACTTATGACTTCTCCAGTCTCAAAATTATTCCACCCCCCTGAATAGAAACAGCACAACTATGCAAAACAGGTGTTGTATCAAGCACACCTGATGCAGCTAATCAAGGGTTTCATTAGTTGCACTAGGTGTGCTTGAGCTGGAACACTTGAAGAACCTGAAGGAGTTTGTTGAGTGTCACATTTGACAGCATGTTAGAAATATGGCTGTCAAAAGAGAATAAATCATTGCACTTTACAAACCAGGAACAGGATACAAAAAGATAGTGAATGCAATGGGTGTTCCTAGAGACACCGTTGGAAGCACATTCAAAGTTGAAGGATCAGTAGTTTCACTACCTGGATGGGACAGTGAGCAGAGTCAGGAAAGTACTAAAAGCAGAAGGTTTCCATGTCAGAACTCCAAAATACACCAGTACTGACCCAAAAGCACAAGAAACTTCAGCTCCAATTTGCTCAAAACATATAAATAAGCCACAGAAGTCTTGAAATTCTGTTCTGTGGAGAGATGAAACAAAACTGATTCATTTTTTTTGGCCCTATGGATCAGCGGTATGTCTGGAGGAAGAAGAATAAAGCATATGTTGAAAAGAACATTCTGCCTACAGTTAAGCATGGTGGTTGCTCAGTGGTGGTCTGGGGTTGCTTTGCATCCTCTGGCACTGGAAACTTGCAGTGTTGGCAAGATGGATTCATTTAAATATCAGGAAATCCTAGGAGAAACTGTCATGTCGTCTGTGAGGAAGCTGGAGCTTTAGGCGTCATGGAACCTTACTACAAGACAATGAGCTAAAGCATTCCTCAAATTCCACCAAGGCTCGGTTGCAGATGAAGTCCTGGAAAATTCTATAGTGGACTTCAGTCACCTGACTTGAACCCCATAAAAAAAATCTCTGGTGAGATTTTAAGAAGGCGGTTGCAGCATGCAAACCCAAAAATATTGCTGAACCGGAGGCCATTGTTCATGAGCAATGGGCTACGATTCCTCAGGGTCACTGCCAGAAGCGGGTGTCTTGCTCTGCAGCAGGTCATAACAGCAAAAAGGGCGCTCTACTAAGTAATAAAGATGCTTGCCATGAAGGGGTTTGTGACAAAACTATATACTGTATTCCCCAAGTTAATTTCCCTGTGTTCGGTACATTTATCTACTGAACACCGACCACCCCACACCCATTCGTATAACCGAACAACAGGTGCTGGAGAAAACGATTCTTTCCACAACAAGCCAGGAGAATACTGTTCGGTAGGTTTGTTCGCACGACCAAGGTGAACTAACGCTATCTATGAGCCAGGGGAACCATTCGTTTTGGAACTCCCAAAAATGACCGACCACTACCACTGAATCTCTGGAACTGATTTAGGCAGACGCTTCAGGTGCAGTTGCTCAATACTTTACCCTGGTGGCAATTCGGCTGTATTCGTGGGATCTGAGCGCTATTTGGAGAACTTGGACGCTCAGATCCAGGCTATCCGGGGATATAATATTTGCGGGTTACTCTGTCTTTTATGTATTTTTAATATTTTTGTAATACTTTGGGAGCATACAAATGAACGTGTATACGAAATACCAGGCGTTCGTTACAGGGTTGAATAATTTTGGCACTGGAGAAGTCATTATAAGCTGCATTTTCAGTTGACTTTGGGGAAACCACTTGAAGCATTTGTTGTGTTTAAGTTATTTCAAGTGCTTATGTTTGCTTTGTTCATGGCAAGCAGCTGGAGTCTGTAAATGTTGACAATAAACCTGATTTTCTATAGAAGGTGAGTAATATTGATTAAAACGGTATGTGTGTGATATGTGGGAAATTTTTTTTTTTTACAAATTTTCAATTTTATATTCCATCTGAAAATGTTATACAATGGAATAAAACACATTTTGTCATTGAACAGAAAATTGACAAAATCCATTGCAGGAATTTTATTATTAATGAAATATTATATTTTAAGTTTGAAATCATTTGTTTTATTTTTTGGCACTTTCCTTTTATTTATGAATAAACATGGTATCTTTATTTCCCCCTAGATGATAGAATTAGAGCGGAAGCTACTAAAAGATCCACATTTAAATACAGCAGCAAGTGAGATTAAAAATACATTGTGAACAGTTTGCCAACAATAGAATAAGTGAACCTTTTTTAATATAGCCGTTTCAAATAATGGCTCAAGTAATAGAACTAGGATGACCTAACGATAACTTGGAATCTAGGAGTTTACGCCAGAAGAGTAAATAAGGTTTGACAAGTTTAAGGCTGGTAGTTCAGTTTCTTGATTGGCAATAATTATTGATCCACGTGTCCATCACCAAAATGATCACTTCCCTAGACCCATAAAATGGAGTGGGGGAACCTCCACCTGAAATTCCTTCTTTATATCGAGACTGTTGAACGAGCAACAGATGTCTCGACACTCAAAGTCTGTCAATTGAACCCTTAATAGGTTATAATCCTTGACCTTTTTTCAGCTAGATTTCATGGAACATCACAGCCCTGAAACAGACTTAGTTCACCCCCTAAATGATCATTTGATGGTTATGATCTGGACGACTGACCATTTGCCTCCTTTTGGGTCTTGCCAAGCTGGATTTAATAAAGCGTTTTATTTGAATAAAGTGACCTGAGTAGCACACAGTTCTCACAATTCTACTAAGGAATATCCAGCTCAAACACAATAAGTCATTTAAACCCACTCACATCACTCACTTTGAATAGAGTTTTTGGTGACCCAAAGTACTGGTAGCACAAATAGGTATAAGTACTGGTAGATGTTACATAGAGGTCCCTAAACTAGCACTCTGTTAAGTTTAAATATGATCTGTTTTAAATGTTTTTAATCCAATGTATTCATCAAATCTGATGGCTAACTTTAAAACCTTTAAATTACCTTTTAAAATTATGCTTAAATATTGTACTTTGGGGTATGTTATTTACAGGTGTAAGATACTAAGCACAATTTATTTCACCACTTTTTTTTTCCAGGAAATTTTGCACCATAAAGAAACAAAAAAATAAATTAAAATTTTCATTCTATGTGGCCCTATCCTCTGCTTAGGCCGTTAGGGCCACCAATATAACAATTTAGGACTTACAGATGCCATGTTAGTCTAGCTTGGACAGACCACATAAACCAATCAAATTACTATGTTCTGCCGAGGCAATAAACGCATCCAGGCTTCAAAATGAATTAGAAAATATTGTTAGATGAACTGCCAGCTAATCACTTGCAAACATTACATTTTAGACTTGTAAAGACTGCCAAAGTGCATCGCTAATTGGCGCCATGTGCCAAGCTGTAAACAATGCTATTTCTGTACAGATCTGTGGCAGCAAAACCAATGGCGCCGTGTGAAAAGGAAGGAAAATATGCTCAGCTGGTATCATTTTAAAAATATGGAACAAAGTGTTTCAACTTCTGCAAATATAAAACAATAATTAGAAAAATCTAACTTTTTAAAAAATTTATACAATTTGACACTTTTTTTTTTAAATAATAAATATATATGAATTCATTCTAACCTGTCAATTTTTTTAATTTTTTTATTTTACTTAGAATGTTACACAATGTTTTTTTACACTTATGGCTGGATTATCTTGGCACAGTGAGGGTTTTATTCTGCTTACTTCTATAGGCTTCACTCAGGGCCAGATTTACATCCCGAGCGCATGTAGACAATCTCCATTTCCACACAAATAAAAAAAACTGTTGTAGATACAAAAAATATCATATTTAGAGTGTGCCATGCACAAATTGCGGTGTTTGGTCTGAGGGGACGGGGCAATGCACACATGGCGGTGTTCAGACTGAGGGGGCGGGGGCCATGCACACATGGCAGTGTGCAGTCTGAGGAGGCGGGGCCATGCACAGATGCACACATGGCGGTGTTCTGAGTCAGATCTGAGGGGCGCCATGCACAGATGGCCTGATGCACACATGGCAGTGTGCAGTCTGAGGAGGCGGGGCAATGCACAGATGGTGTTGGTCAGTCTGAGGGGGCGGGGCCATGCACACATGGCGGTGTACAGTCTGAGGAGGCGGAGCCATGCACAGATGGTGGTGGTCAGTCTGAGGAGGCGGGGCCATGCACAGATGGTGGTGGTCAATCTGAGGGGGCAGGGCCATGCACACATGGCAGTGTGCAGTCTGAGGAGGCGGGGCCATGCACAGATCATGGTTTATTCACTAAAGTTAGATTTGTTGGGAATTCAAAGTGATTTCCACATTTTAGGCAAAAAATAGCTGAAGTGAAAACACAGCCACATTGGATAATTTTTCCAGTTCGTCTAATTTGAGCTATAATTTGAATTAATAAAAATTCCTAGCTTAATCACCCTGATTAGAGGTGTAGGACTGCGCTGTATTGAGGGATTCAGAATTTCAGCTATAACCCTATACAATAAAAATTCACAAAAAAGGTATTTTGGGAAATGCACACAAAATGGCTACAAGGGAAGCTGCAAAACCTCGTGGTGATCTGTGAAATTAGCTTTGTTTGTAACATTGAATTAAAACGAAATAAACCTGCTGATTGTGTCCCATTCAAACGTTAATATTCTCATTTTACTGACCGCTCTACTGGACAAGAAAATGACTGACTATAGAAGTTACATTTTACCATTTTTATTCTTATCAAATATTGAAAAAAATTGTATTCTAAATCGCATATTATTTGCAACTATATCATGCACTACCAGTTAAATCGGATTAAAGGAACGCACCAAGCACCATAAGTTGGCGCTATATAAATGTGACTAATAACACCCAGATCGCTGTAGTGGCTTGAGAGGAGGCAAGGACCAGTGCCCTGGGACCCTAAGGAAGAAGTCAAAATTACTAAATGGTTAAAAACAATCAAGTTTGTGGGTGGAGGGGGGCACCAGGGTACATCTACCCTGCTAACAAAAATGGTGTGGTTATGGTACTTGTAGTGTTCCTTTAAGTATTAAATATACATGGTGCTTTTGCTAACTGTTCTAGTTTTCAATAAAGACCATGAATGGTACCTAACACAGTTGATGTCTGGTGAATAAACTCCTCAGTTGTCATAGAAAGTCATAAAAGATAGAGGGAGCGTAACAACATCATAAAAATCTCTATATAGTGTTCAAAGAAAGATGGGAGATTAGCCATTGACTGAAGGGCCGAGACTGGACAATACTGTCCTACAGTGATTATGAACAGCAGCAGCAGGCAATAATATCCTACGTCCGTTTGATCCTATCTTTGCTTCCTCATCGTGTGCCATTTGCCAATAGCTACTAACAGGACAGAACTGACTAATGTACATTGAACGGTCGGGGTTATCTACTTGACCATGACCTGCCGTGATGTCCATAGAACAAATCTGGATTTACCCCAGAATTCAAATAATCAGCTAGTGCAATACCTGGGTACTATTGGGTTACAAACAGTCCAGCCCTGTCTTTGATTCCAGAGAGCCTATTCCGGCGCCACATGTATACTAAGTAGCCATATCTCAATTTGCAACCACTATAAAGTCCTTCAGCACTCAGTGTTCATATCTTTCACCCACTCTTGGTAGCTGACAAGCTGAACTACATTAGCAACTTATACCAAAATTGTATGTGGGCGCCCTCAGCTGGTAATTCATTGCAAAGCATTTCAAGTGTAAAACAAATTTAATTTTTTTTCTGTAAGTATCACTTTCCTTTTTTTTATAATGTGACTGCATGGCTATAAAGTTGATAAAAGTTAATTAAAGCTGTCTTGTGTCCTGACTATGGATTGGACCAAAAATATTTTTTTTTATATTTCAACATCTTCCTAATATATAACCAGCATTAATTATGAAAAAAATGAGTAGATGTGCATAGTGGTTTTATTTGAGCATTACAGAAGTAAATATAAGCAGTACAAAAAGACCCCGTAAAAGCAAGCATTAATATTGGTAGTCTTACCCCAAAAAACATTTTATATAATGCAAATTTATCAAATGATGTGTAATTATCCAAAGCAGACATGCAGATGTGAATGATGTGTGTAATGCCCAGCGCTTATTATTTAGACAGAGCTACCGTAGCCTCTACATAACATCCCTTATCTGACCTATTCTACCCCCATTCCTCATTTAATCCCACACTCATTGCCGCCTTCTGCAGGGTTCTAAGGTTTTCATAAAACTGTTACATTCAAAATGTATTTTTTTTTTATATATATATATATAATTTATTATAAAGTTTTACAATCTAAAAATGACCCATGAACTCTGAAGTAGAAAAATACAAAAGCAAGCAGCAATGGACACAAATGTACACTCCTGAGATAGTTAAAAAAAAAACTGCTCACAAGAGCTTACACTCCAATCCAGGTGGTTCTTTGAACTGCGATCCCCTCAGATGTTGTTAGACTACAGCTGAAATTCTCTACAAAGACCCATCAAATGTCTTTAACAGGGTGTTAGTTGTCGGGGGAACAAAGAGAATTTCAAACTTTAGGTTAGAATTGGCAAACTTGGCACAAATTCCGCAAGTCAGCTATTTTGGCTTAGAATTTGAAATTCTGTGTGAACTCCACACTTTTGTGAATATACTCATTTGTAGTTCCAGTTATAGTCCAATATGGATCAGAAATGTTAGAGGACAACAACTCCTACGGACTCTAGTCACCTGCTCGTGGCCAACACGTTTTTCTGGGAATTTTAATCCATAAATAGCCTCTGGATCAAATTTAAAAAAGGTTTATGGTTTTAGCGAGGCAAGACAACCATTCAGTTGTATAAATTCATTATTACAATGTGTCTTGGACAACCTTATGCCAAAACGAGAGACAAAGCTGTGGAGTAAAAAAAATGGGGAAAAAAAAATATTTTTCAATATTCAAATGTTCATCTTTCTGAAAAAATGGCTGACTCCAATGGAAAGATAAGTCATTTTTGCATAATCTTCTTCCTTCTTTGGATTTATTTTAAAGGAACGTTCTTGTTTAAACATTGAATGATACCAAATAGAACAACAGGAAGAAGAGGCACGACGAATATAAAAGCCAGATCTGCTAACATTGGACACTGCTGCTTAAACAGACTATACACTTAGAAGCTGGTTAGAAAAAATATATTGTGATTTGTCGTGCTTTCAGATACGTTCCACAGTGATATACCTTTATCATGACCCTAACACAGTTTCACATTAACAGGTACTGTATCAGCTTTTTGATTGAGGATACAACGAGGCAGATGTTTTAAGGGACAAGAAGTTGGTGACCGAGTTCATAATTCCTGAAGGTTATTGCATGTTTGTGGAACTCTGTCTGTGACCACTTCTTTTTTGAAGAAAATATAGGAGATGGACTTTTGAAACGGGGAGACAGAGGATCTACTGTAGATGATGGAGCCTGCTCAGGTAGGTTGCTAGCCTTCTGTAGAATTTAAGAACTAGATAATTGAGGGTATGTCGATCCAGGAGTTTGCAAGTTTTACAGACTTATTCACTAAATTCAGAATGTCGGGAATTTAAAACAAGCCAAAATGATCAAACTAGCCAATCTCCAATACCTATGCTCCCTGTTCCGCTTTTTTTTACCTTAATTTGAAATTCACTTTGAATTCCAGACAATTCTGATTTTAGCGAATTAATTATTTATTTCGTTTTGACGTCTACCAATGATGGCTAACGTACATGCAATGGAGAACACCACGTTAAAATTCACTAAGAAGGATTTCTCATGAATCTCAGTTCACCATTCAGGAAATAGATACAGTACCAGTCATGAGAGCGCGGGTGCGTGATAACGCTTTGGGATTTTGCTATTGTGGGGAAAAAAAAAAGTATATTTGTTGTTTAACCGTAATACCCATCTACAACAAAGAGAAGAATCTTGCTAGCCAACGATCAATGGAATCCACAGCATTTTCCTCTAGGCACTTAAATGCTTCCTCAGTCAATGCTTCGAGATAACATTGTTCCTATAATAGAAGACAAGTTAAAGATATAATCCGACTCGATTATAGTAGGTGAGCCCTGCTACATGGTATAATTTAGAAATATAAGATGGAAACCCTGCATACTGCTCCCCTATAATGCAGATACCAATTGGGCTTGCATATAAGCATTTGTCTGCGGTTAGTGCAAATACAGTATCTCTAAAATGTAAGAACTAAAAACAGTTAAGCAGATTTTAATCACCAAAAAACTGGTCAACAGTAATTAAATTAAAGGAACACCATAAGGTCAAGAAGACAAACATGTATTCCTGATGCTATAGTGTTAAAACACCATTTGGGTCCTCGTTCTTCCATAAATATAGTAAAATGTTACCTTTATTCCAGTCTGCGGGTTCTGTTCTGCCCCTGATCTGCCACCTTGGCTGACATCATTAGAAGTGGTGATCTCAGCCAATCACAATGCTTTCCCATAGGAAAGCATTCGATTTGACAGAGATTGTCAATTCTGATAATCTCAGTCAATGAGGTAGGCTGTGGGCGCAACCATACGCCGCCCCCTGGTCAGTTAGCATCTCCTCATAGAGGAGTGCAACCTTTGGCACTCCATATGTTGTGGACTACATCTCCCATGATGCTTTGCCAGCTGTAAGAACATTATCGTAGATGTGCTCCAAAACATCTGGAGTGCCAAAGATTGCCTAGCCCTGCTTTAGTGAATAAATGTTTATTCCGTTTGTATACGTTGTATACCTGGTCATCGCCGCACAGGAGCAGCCCGAGCATCTGTTTTATATGCTTCTTAAAGATACATGGATCTTCAGAATTCGAGAGCCCGCTAGGATCAAAGAAAACTCCCTGGGGACAAAAATTAAATATAAATTAAAACACATATCCTTGCAACAAGTCTCACTTTCTATGTGAATGAGCAATTGTCCATGTATGGTTAACTTCATACAAGAGACTTTAGCAGACATTGCCATCATAAAGCTCAGTGAAAAAGCCTGTGGAGTAACTGAAAAACTTTAATGTTTTCCATTGTGGGGTTAAAACTAAAGGACCGCTTGATTGAGATGAAGTGGTGTGGGCGTCTGTAACGTTTAAAGAAAACCTGTTTTATGCCACAATTGCAGTGTGTGAACATAGGGTATGTGATGTTTCATCTTCGAAATACTGAATTGTTTATCAAAAAGTAATAAATTAATAGTTATTAAAATTTAAAGTTCAAATTCAAAGGTTAGAATAGGAAAAATATTGTGATTTAATCTTTAAAACCCAACTTGTTTCTTTTGACCTTCTAAGTTCTGTGGACGGAATCTTTAGAGGTAAGAGTATGGTTACAATTAATGTTTAATATATAAAATACTTTGAATTGAACATCTGTCTGCTAATTAGTTATCACATTCTGGTAACGTGAAATGAATTGGGTATTCTCCTAAGCAGAGATATTCACCTCCTCTGTGTGTAACATGCTCTCTTCGATGTTTTCTGGAATTAGGTTGTAACACCAGCAGAATTTCAGGTAGGTTAGGACATCACTCAGCAGTTCTACCTTACTAAAATGACAATCCACAGGTGGTCTGCCAACCGCTGCAAATGGAACAGAAAAAGTAGAAATCAAAATACAGTAACAACATGTGACTCATACAATTTCTAGAGAACACATTGAGATTATGTCAGCAGTGAAAAAAATCTAGGCAATTCATAAACTATGGTAATTTTGTAGCTAATCATTGCTGGACATAAATGCAGTATTGGCATCCCATGATATTTGTTCCAAACCCTCCTTTACTGAGCGGCAGTGAGAGATGTACCTCTAATGGTATGTGTGTCTTAATACCTGCACTATATTCCACCACTTACTGTCCCTGTTATTATTGAAAACCAAAATAAATTAATTAACAAATTATCTTAACACCTTTTTATCCAGATCTAAACTGAAGGACCAAATTATCAAATGTACATTGGTCAGGGTTTTAAAATTGATACAACCAAAGCATTTAGATAGAATATATTACTTTATTGAGAAAATTACCTAGAACATTTTTGTGTTCCATAAGGAAGTATATGAATCCATTTCTATCATAGATTACAGCGTATGGGACAAGGAGCCCACAGTAATTAGGGATGGTCAGGAAATTTTGCTGTATTTTCATCCAATCAATGGTAACCGGAACCTAGAAAAACCAAACAACTAAATCACCAATTACTGAAATATAACACTATAAAATAAAGTACATTCGGAATATTAAAAAATTCTTTAGTCAATTTCATTAAAGTAGAAAATGTCAAATATCTTGCCATAAAACAGGTGTTGCTGTATATATTTCCGATTCTCACATCATACTCTTACTCTGCCCAAATACAAAAAAAAATGTCAAATAAAATCACTATTTAGTAGATATAACTCCAATGAAAATATGCATGCATGTAATTGTATATGTTTTCATTGGGAGTATATAAAAAAAAAAAGCTGTAGATCTCTTGTCTGCATCCTTTGCAAGTCCTCCCCTTCTAACCCCGCCCAGACATTCTGTGGCTGTCCAATCACAGACTTCCCAATGGAGCTCAATGAGAAATCTTTAGCAAGGCAGGTGCCCTGAGCAATAGCTGCCTCTTGAGTTTAGCTGACCAAGAGGTAACAGGACTGGTTGTCTAACAGCCAAGGGTGTAATATGGATAATTTAGAAAAGTGCCAATTTCTATGGGAATCTGCACTTTTTGTAAAATGAAAATAAGGACACTCTTTACACATAAAGAACTTCAGGAAGCTAAAGTGCTTTGCGGGTCTGGATAGAGTGTTTATTTAAGGTATCTACATTGCGTAGCTTGTCATACGTGGCCTGTTTGAGTCACTGGTCATGCCCGTCTGTTTAGACTGTTACAAGAATCCAAGTAGTAGACCACACCTAGGTCTAATTTCCCTGTTGTCTAGTTCTAACTATAACTACTTCCTCTTCTTAGAACTGTTGCCAGATCCCACCGTAATGCCAAGCCCTACTTTGTTGTTCTTTGTTCCTTGTCTTCTTCTTGAAGTCCGCTTGCTGTTTCAAGTCACGTGTTCTTTCAGTTAGTCATATTTTTTTAAAGTCAGATCCCATCGGCTTCCTCTTTCCCCATATTACCTGGTCCGGTTTTCACTATAACCTCTGGTCACGTTGGCTGGTGGCAATCACCCAGAAGCTGCCTAGGGCTCAACCTGTAGACACGGCTGGATGGTTATATTATGGACCTTCTAACCGCTGTCCAGGCTTTGTATGGATTTCCAATCACAGACTTCCCAATGCAGCTCAATGAGAAGTTTTTACAAGGCAGGTGCTCTGGGCAATTGCTGTCTCTCGAGTTGAGCTCCCCTGAGCCAAACAAACCAGGAAGTAACAACAAAATATATTACTTTTTTTCTCCAAAGGAGGAGGGTGATCTGTGGCATCAGATGTGCATATCCCTCTGCTTTGTCCTGCTGCAACACTAGCTTGAGAGCCCCCCAACTAAAGCTACTGCTTTAGCAATACCTCTGCCAACAAGACAGCATTAGAGCTCAGGGATCCTGGATCAGATTTTTGTAGCCATGATTAAAAAGTCTATCAGAATCAATCAGGACATTAAAAGAACAGTCTAAGCATTATAAACAGTGCGGCTCCTATAGTGTAAACAGTTTGCAGAAGATCTTTGTTTTCAGTACGTCCAATCAAAATCCGTAGACGTAATTAGAACTATTTAATAAACCTACCTTATTCTCTTTATTCTTTCTCTAAATGCAGCGTCCACAACAAAGGGGAGAAATTGTAATGAGCAAAGGGTAAATAATGGGTTTCCGTGACAAGCAGTTATTAGGATGGTTGCACGCTATGGAATTCAGCGGAGGCGATATATTTTAAAACATACATATGTGTTAACCTGTAAATACCATTATATAATATAGAATTATTAGATAAACTAAACTGTAAAATAGATTGAATTTGTAACTGGTCTAAGGCCATTTTAAATTAGATAAATCTTTATAGCTTATTATCTCTCTCTATATACCAAGCTAAGTCTAAACGCTAGTCCAAGTAGACCTTGTCTTTATCTGTAATCAAATGGGTAACAAAATAAATATGGATAGAGGAACTATGAACACAGATACCTATTTGCATATAATCATATAAATATTCAGGTCAAAAGTCAGGAACGGGTTAGGAATCACACTAATTATACCTGTATGATGTAAAATGCTGGATGTTAATGCACCCAAGGCAGCATTTTCCAAGTAGGACGTTTGGGTGGAATAATTTCTTTACAGATACCTTGAAGGGACTAATTGGGTAAAATTGACGTTTTACAAATAGTTGTCATGATGCGGAAACTGGAGAGCTTAGGTAAGAAACCTCTTCACTAGGAAGTGGCTCCACCAATCAGGAACCATTGCTCTCTGAGATACAGTTTTCAGCAGGAATAAACAGCTTCTTGCCCAGCAGGTCCAATCATCACATGGAATGTATGGACCTGCTTTATAAAGCAATCGCAGCAATCACACAGTTTTGTAGAACCAGGCGGCTAATAAAAATGTGCAGAGCTCCTGACCATGCAGCCTTGTAACCATAGCTTGACTCTATTTCTGAGGATGAGAGATAGCTATGTCAAAGATAAGTGTAAGGGGTAAGTGCATGCTGCAAAATTATCACAGGATCCCTAAACAGAGTACTGAGGGGGGGAGAGGGATAGAAACATAGCAACAGATTTTAATCTCTGTATAACTGTAACAATAGCGACTCTATCTTTTACTTCTGGTAATCTATAAGAACCACGATAGTGTCCATTTTTAATCAGCATTAAAAAAAGAATTCAAAGGACAGCCATAATCAGGAGTTAGCCCGAGTATCTGAAATGTTAATTACAAATGTTCCCTCCCCCTCAACCTGCCATACTCCCGTTGGGCTTGAGAATATCGAGAAATGATGGTCTACATTAGCGTAGAATCTGTCAGCTGCTTTGCTGTTTAATAGCGGTGCTTAATATTCATGAGTATATATTTTAAAGAAATAATCACGGCAAACAGCCAAATGGCTGCTGAGACGTGCAGGGAGAGAAGAAAGTTCCTTTCAGAGATACAGAGCTGGAGAAAGGGAGAGAATATGACATGAATTTATCATGATTAGGGAAATGCAGCAGGGAGATGTGGTTATGGAGGAGGAGGGTAAAAAAGATGAATTTGAGCAATAATTTTAAATAAAGGAAGCCAAATAGAGTTGTTTGTCCTTTTCTTCTAAATTTTCCTGTGTTTGCAATTTATGATGCCAATTATGAGGTAAACCGTATGCTAGAAGTTTTGTCGAAGTTTGAAAGCCGCAGAAACTAGAATCCGCCGTGTTCAGTTGTCCCTATTGCCCCCTTGTCCCAGGCACCAAACTGAGGGACACGGGTTAATGAATGACCCAGGGCTCATTCATTAACCTGTGCATAGTCGACATGGACAGGTGAGTAGCCAGACAAATAGAATTCATGATCAGTAAAGACCAGAGGGTGCCCAAAACATAGACCCGTTCTGCTGCAGAGCTACTACTCCCATCAGGCTCTGGTAGTGTTAAAACTGTCAGAGCATCAAGGAGGTTGTAGTTCTGCAACAACTGTAGCTTTACCTTTTGAGCACCCCTATTAGTATTTGTTCCATAAGTCAGTACCAGAATTAATTTTGAACAATTATATCTTTCGCAGAAATCAACATGGTTTTATGGAAGACAGGTCATGCCAAACTAACTAAACGAAGTTAGCAGAAATATAGGTCAGGATGATCCAATAGATGTGATCTAGACTACACGGCATTGGCAAAGACATTTGAAACTGTTTCATACGAAAGATTACTATGAAAATGGAAATCCATTGCAATACAATGCAATATTCTCAATAGAACAATGGCTTAAAGATAGAGTGCTGAGAGTACGTATAAATGGAACTTTTTAAAATTGGACAAAAGTGGTAAGTGGAGTGCCTCGTGGTTCTGTCCTGGGTGCACTTCTCTTTAATCTGTTTATAAATGATCTTGAAGTGGGCATTGAAAGTTATTTGTCCGTGTTTGCAGACATCACAAAACATGCTATCACTTTTCTACAGAGAGGCTGGAGAGGCAAGGGGGTAATGGGATTCAATACAAACAAATGTAAAGCCAATCATATTGGAATAAGGAACTCACAAGCAATATATACATTTAATGGGGTTGATCTAGGGATAAGATTTAATTAAAAGGAGTTGGGAACAATTATAGATAAACTAGTCAACAGTGAGCAATGCTGGCCTGCTGTTGCAAAGGTGAGTAAGGTGCTGTCATGTATAATGGTATTGATTCACATGCTCAATAATTTTATCTCTTTGTAAATCTATAGTAAGACCTCACCTTAAATATGGGTATCAGTTTTAAAGAAGGATATTACTGACCAAAAAAAGTTTAAGGCAAGCTACAAAATTAATAAGAGGGATGGAAAACATTAGTTATAAGGAATGTATAGAAAATTACATTTGTTTTCTTTATAGGGAACATGACAGCACTATATATTAATATGTATGTGAACAGGTTGTTGATGAGAACCCGATTGCCATTATGGCATCAAGAAGGAATTTTTCCCTTTTTGTGGCACAATTGGTAATCGCTTAAATGTTTTACTTTTTTGGGATGAACTGCTTAAAGATTTGTTTTACAGGTTGAACTCAATGGTCTTGAGTCTTTTCCAAACCTAAATTACTGTGTATATATAGGAAACTATAATTATTATAAGGCTGTGGCCTGTAAATATCGCTGACTATTGGACATTTAGTGTACTGGTCAGTCCAGGCCCAAGAGGAACCTGTAAGGATATATTCACTATAGCAGTAATTAAAAAGAACAGACAACGAAATTAAATTTCAACAAACACACCCAAGCTGTAAAAAAAAGATGAATTTAAAAAAGTTTTCCATTTCAGTTATTTTGCTTGAAACGTGAAATTTATCAGTCAATTCTGTAAAGTTTCCAAGTGTATTGCATAATATCCAAAGTAACCTCTGGAAAATCTCACAATGCAACGTTATATTTGTGGATAATTTAATGCAACAACTGATAATGAAAAGCTACTAATTGATGGTTTTAAAAATATACAGCCCAGTCTAATTCAATAAAACTTCATATGACACCGGGTGACCGGTAAAATTACTGAAACATGCTAAGCTGAGTTATAACTAACAACGACCGATGTATCAAGGAACTAGTCTTTACTGAACAATATCAAGACTATCACAATCCTTTATATAAGAAACACCATTGTATTTGAATCTTACCTTTTTTACAATCATATTGGCTTGGGTTATCCTGTCTTTTGCATAAAACCAGCCTTCCCCAAATAACTCTGTGACGTAAAAATGGATTCCATGATGATAATAGAGGAAAAGACTTGAAGCTGAATTTTTCATGCCAAGCTTGAAACCATTTCTCTGTCATAAAAGGGAAATCAGGATTTAAAAACAGAATGCAACATATGTCTGTGCTTCAGGTGAAACACACAGGGCTCATTGCAACCTCTGGTGAAGTGGGAACACTTGGAAAGATACGGGAACATTGTTCCCTTCACAAATAACTAATTTCAAGTTTATGAATGTCCCAGTGCTCTGACGCATTGTGGGAGGGATGGGTTACATCACATGACACCTCCATACCTTCTTTCTCTTTTTTACTTTTTTACTTCAAAGCTCTATAACATCTGCCTGCACCCTACGTAAAGGCCATGGAGGAAAAGAAAATGTGTTTTTTTTGTAAAGTGAGACGGTAGAGATTGTAGCCAAGTGTAAGAATAATAGTGAGAAAGGATGGTAAATAAGGGGCATAAAAGAGACAGTGGAATGAAGAGTCAGAGTCTTACCTGAGATGGGAGTCTGAAGCGCAGATATGTTTGCCCACCCTTGCCGATAGACACAGTCAGGTAAGAAGCCACCTGGACTGTGAATCTTGCACGGGGGCTGTGCAGGAAAGGTGATTCCAATGCGGTACTGACAAGGTCACAAACAGCAAGATAGTCAAGGGATAGCCAGAGTCAAAGGATGCCAGAAATCAGGATAAACAAAGTGTAGCTGAAGTCAAAGGATGCCAGAGATCAGGATAAACGAAGTCAGAAGCCGGGGTCAATATGGGGTCAATACAAGTTTAGGAGACTTGAAAACAGGAACTGAACACAAAAACCAGGATCAAAGACATGATAACGTTCCCAGGGCGAGACAGGGCTTATATACCCAGCTGATGACTAATCTGTCTCAGGTGAAGCACAGGCAATGACCACAGAAGAAGTCCAGCCCCCTGTGCTGCAGACATAGCCAAGTAGAACAGGGATAGAACTACTCCAAAGAATAGGAACTGCTGTGGCTGAAGGCAGTATAGCAGATCCAGGACAGAAAATGACCCAGGTTCAAATCCCCCTGTTGGGCACTACTGGTGTGGTGAGTACCGTGACAGCATGGAAGACATAAACAGGAAAGATGGCTATACAAAGAAGAGGCCAGGAGATCACATGCCTGTGCAGGGTTTTGTGGGAGTAGTAATATTGTAAAAGATGGAAGGGTGAGGTTATAAGGACAGTGAGCATAGAAGGAGTTGGGCATATAATGTGGAGCTGAGGATTGTTCTTTTGGGCACTGAATAACTTACTCGGTAGGAGATGTTGGGCAAAAAGAGAAAATTACAAGATATTTGCATTGAAGTCATAGAAGGGGTCCAGGGTACCAGGGTATGTAGCAAGTGGTAGGAGGCTACAGGGCATATAACAAAGCCAGGAGAAGGTTTACTGGATAGAGTGTATAGCAGGGTACCAACCGGGGTATAGCAGATGGTGTGCATATAAGGAAATGCAATGATTGATGGGCACACAAGAGGAAACAGAAGCTGCTGGGCACAGAATGGGATACAGCTGGTGGGCAAAGAGATAGCATTGAGTAACGAGAAAGAAATGGAAGAACACTGGTAAGTAGGTAGCATTGGCAGTGGAGACAATATGGAAGATCATGGAAGACTTTATAGAGTACGGCTGGACCAGAAGGCCTTCCAGTCCTGTCTACTGCCACTCTTCTGGATGTTACACTAGTAACAGACATGACAGTCAAACTTAGACAGACATATATATTGTACAAAACTTACCATAGTTACCAAAGCAAAGTCTCCGTCTATCTCCTTTTTCTTCTTAGATAAGGCAATCCCAGAGTCTAAGAGGATTAAACCACGTCCACACGAATCCAGGAAAATTCTTCTCTGTTCGTCTAATACAGAATCACCATTTTCTTTGATCCTGTTGCCATACTCATCTTGCACAGATGGTTTGTCTAACAGAGTGAAAGGCACACATTGGCTTGGTGGCCCATGTGTTCTGCTTCGTTCCTGAACATTTCTCTCTTCACATTGAAGCACTGCATTGTCATCAAATTGGGTAGACTCCACGTCTTCGCCAATCATAGCAGTGACTTCATTTTTATGTAATTCCATGTTATCTGTATTTCTGGGTTCCGAGTTCTGAGTATCGGTGCCTGGTTTGTTTCCTTTTTCTGGTGATAATTCAGACTTATTAGTCTCTGCATCTTCATACCTTACAGTTTCGAAAGTGAAAGTTAAATTGTAAGTCTGCAATGGTGTCTGTTGTCCAGTATCTTTAAAAAAAAAAGATGGTTTTTCTTCACAATGGTCAATACTTTTAAATGGTTCAGCTTGTTCACAACACTTTTCCGTTTTATTAGACATATGGTGGCCACATTGGGTGTCATGAACCAACGTTTGGCATTGCATAGATGTTTCAAGTGACTCCACATCAGAAACTTCAAGTGTCTCATAATTAATGGCATTTTCTTTTTTGTCAGTTTGTACAAAACTTTTAATTGGATTCTGTCTCTCTTTTTGTGGAGCTGCTTCACTTAGTTCCTGTATGACTTGAACCTGAGGGTGGTTGTCTTCAGAGTTATCTGCTGATGTTAGAGGTAATTTTGAATCTCCAACATTTGGTAAATCTTCATTGCCATGATCCAGTGAGTACTTTTTAGATAGATTCCGGTGATCTTTTTGCATTGTACCCTTGAAGGCATGATCCAAGTTTTGTATAGGTGGTTGAATAGATTCCTTTCTATTATGAAATGGTATTTCATCCTCCATCATCTGCTCAAAAGTGTGCTGTTGCACAGAAGTTGTCAAAGTTTCATCTTCTTTAAGTATCTGATCATCAATAATCTTATCTGATGCTTCACAACCTATTGTAGTTTGATATGGTTCTTGACTATGGATTTTCATCATCAGCTTCTCCATGTCGATTTGCATGGATGTATCACATGTTTCCTCCTTATATACTTCCAAAGGCAAATTGTGGCTTCCATAAGTTTCCATAAACACATACAGAGACGTTTCTTCTGTGTTGAATTCTGCTGGTTCAGTTCCACAATGTCCTCCTTCCATTTCATTCATTGTATACACTGGTTTGACTGTTGAGCTGATCTCCTCATTTATTACTGAATCCTCTGAATTTTCTATTTGCTGGACAATCTCACAATTGTCATCTATCTCACGATGGCTAGATTTGAAATTATAGAGGTCATCCTGTTCTTCTGTCTGTTCATTCACCCTCATCTCATTTTTGACATCTTCGAATGTAACAGTTTGGTTCCTGACACCCTTTCTTTCACCATTAGCTTTGATTAAGTATTGGTTGATGTCAATTACTGATACCGAAGAAGATCCCTTGCTGTCTGGTTTACCTGTCAATTTAGCAAACTCCTTCCTGGATTTTGTATCATCATCAAAAGAAAAAACAGAAGAGTTTGAGCGTCTTGACTGGGAGCAACCAGTCTTCTCATCTTCAAATTTTGGTGAAGAAGCATTTATTTTTGGGTGAGGAGGCTGAGTTTCACTGACTATTGTTCTCCTGGCATGGTGATGACTAGAATTTCCACCAGATGGCAGCAATGCAGCTGTAATGTCAATAGTCGTCTCTGTAGTGATGGGATACATAGACTTGTCTCCATTCCTCTCTCTTTCCACTTGCATCGCACCCATGCAATCCTCAGCCTGCATGAAGTGTAGATCATCAGTTTGCTGCGGTATAGTTAGTCTACCTGCACTCATTATTTCATCACTTTGCTTATTTTTTTCAAAGTGACTTCTGAAAAATAAGTAAATAGCTGTGAGTTACAAATTTGCACAAAAAAAAATATATATATATATATAAATTTTGTGGTCAATTTATATTGTTTGCCATTTCTATAACAGCAAATTCAGTTTAACAATTTTCTCTCTTGTAAGAGAATAACTAAATATATTAGAATCCTCACATTAACCCATAAAACTATACCATATTATAATATATATATATATATATATCCTGAGGGAAAGAACTGTGGCTGTATAAAGAAATGTTAGTTCTTTAAATAATAATTGAAAATACAATTAAATAATAATAAAATAATAATTACAAGTCTGCTTTCTGACATCTGACGAAAGCAAGAATAGGAAGATACAAGAAAGATATTATGGTTGTCCCTATGTTTTAATTACCTCTCAAATCAATCGGATTGCCAGTAATTGATCAGGAATTTTAAACTTTTAGGCAAAAATAGCTGACTGAAAAATTCTATAACTTAATTTAGGCAATAAAAAATAAAAATAAAAATATAAATGTATATTACAATTTGAGCTAGACTAGCTGTAAAAAGTCTACGTGTCCTTCAATTAATTTTTTTATTTCTGTAAAGGGTAAACTAGGCTTTTAAAGAAATACTGTAGGGAACCAGGTCACTGCATCTCAATGACGTGGTCCAGGTGCCTGTCTCTGTAACCCTGCAATATAAAACATTGTTGTTCTGCAGGAATTGCAATGCAGGGTTTAAATGCCTCCAGTGACTGTCACTCTGACTTCGCGCTTCCTCAGAAATAGCCAAGTAAAACTCAGCTATTTCTATCAGATGGTATTAGAGACCATTCGATTGGCCCCATAAGAAAGCATTAAATCAATGCTTGCCTGTGGGGGAAATCTGGCGCTGCATGTTGTGCTACTTTCAAATCTATGTTCAGTAACTGACTTACTCCAATAGTCCAGTTCCATTCTTCATTGCAGAATGCATGATGATTCTCTCCGGGGAATCTTAAACAAAAGAAATATCGTTAAACAGACATATCTGATTTAAGAGAAAAACAGATTTCAACCAGTTATCTCTCATAATGCAAAGTCATAAATCTAGCTTAATATTTTGTTATTAATCCTTTAAGAGTATTGAACGTAACCGTGAAAGTAATAATGATGTTCAAAAAGTTATCAGGCTGAGCATTATTGGAAATGTAATTCACATAATTAACACTTGGCATGCCAAAAGGTTAGTCATTACTGTGTTATTACACTGACTATAGCGGACAATAAACTCATTTGCTAAAGGAAGACTTCTCGCAAGTGTCTGTATCAGTAAGTAGGTTAGTCGTAACTTAGAGCATGTAATAATGAATATTATTATTTTAGGCAACGTGAGCAAGTGGGTTTTTTAGCTGAGCAGCCAGACTTGGAAAACAAGCTGATTTAATTTCACCGTCAGCTCTCCAGGGTCTCACTCTGTCCTGAAGCTTTTGTTTCCAGTGCCATCAAGCAAGAAAAAAAACCACACACACAAACATAGTGCAAATACTTTAAAGGACAATTAAAATAAATAAACACATGACGACATTCACCGTAACTGCAAAACTCTTTATCGAAGGTCAGTCTTGAGATTACGGTTTGTAAAGCAGAGTGTATCTTTAAACAGGCTTAAAATACCGACACTCCGTTTTACCATTTTTCATGTAGGCCTGGATATAGGCAACATGTACACATAGTGCACACACACATTGTATACATACATAAAACGTGTCTCGAGCAGTTTGTTCTCCAAATGTCGCTGAATGAGTTGATAGAATGGCTGTTCGGCATTTATAATGTAGCAACACAATTCCAAAGTATAAATTCTGAGATAAAATATTAACATTAAAAACAAGGAACTAAAAAACTGAAAATGGCTCCGGTCTTTTAAGGCTGTTTTCTGGTTTTTAGTTCCTTATTTTTAGGTTATGTTTTTTTCAGAGAATGTATATATATATATATGTTTGTATAACAAGTTTATTCCCTTAACCCAGTACCCAGCAAAAGCCCAAATAAAATCTCTGTTTGGGTCACGGTGAAGGAGATAAACCTCATGAATGGTTAATTTAAACCACATTGGCTGCGAGGAGATCACTTACGGCTGATCCCAAGGCTCATTCTCCCAGGCTACACTGGAGCACTAACCAACGGAGAAGATTGTCCTTTCCTCACTCTATTCATTAAGGCTGATACAGTAACATACAATAACTCATACTCTCAAATTCCTGCATTTCTTTGTGCCTCTCTGTCTCTGTGTTTTTAGAGTGCCTCTCCCAGATCATGTACTGAGTCTCAGGTCATCTCATTATCTATCTCTCACTCTCGCTTGCTCTCAAATACCACACCAGACTCTACACAGAGTCGTGGGTGATCTCGCTGGGTGTCTTTCTCTAAAGCAGCTCACCAGACTACACTGAGACCAAGGCACTCTGTCTCTTTGTCTATCACATGAGAGACAGTACTTCATCGGTGTACCTCTCCAGACCATACGCACTCTCACAAGTCCCTCTCTCACTTCAGAGTACATTAAGAGTCCTTGGAGGCCTTTCTCTCCCTGTCCCTAAGATCTTTGTGTCTGTAAGATTCATGGATGAATTACAGTTTCTCTATGTTTTTTTTGTTTGTTTTCTTATACAAATAATGTTTGTGAACAGTACCATTTCTGTCTATCTATAAATGTCATTGATGTAGGTGCCTAGGTGATCTCTTTGACTCTGACCTCCTTCACCCCTCATGTCCAGTCAATCGCCAAATCCTGCCGCTTCTATCTCAAAAACGTAGCTCGCATCCGCCCTTATTTAACACCAGACGCGGCTATGGTGCTGGTCCATTCCGTTGTTCTTTCTCGCCTTGACTACTGCAATCCCCTTCTCAGTGGTCTTACATGTTCCCAGATTGCACCGCTGCAATCTATAATGAATGCGCAGTAAGGCTCATTTTCCTGTCGGCTGCACCTTTCAAGCCTCCCCCTCTGTCAGTCCCTACATTAGCTTCCAGTTAGATATAGGGCTCAATTTAAGATTCTGGTGCTTGCTTACAAGTCCCTACATAATACTGCTCCAATCTACCTATCCTCCCTAATACACAAATATGTCCCGTCAAGGCCCCTACGCTTTGCTGAAGACCTACGTCTATCCTCTGTCCGTACTCCCGCATCTGATGCTTGCCTCCAAGACTTCTCAAGGGCTGCACCTTTTCTGTGGAACTCCCTTCCCTTGGCTGTTAGACTTTCACCCAGTCTCCACTCCTTCACAAAATCTTTGAAAACTCACTTCTTCAGGAATGCATATCATTTAAACTGTTAACAGGTTTTTATCCCCTTTTTGCCCCAATCATTATCTGAGCCAGTTAAGTGTAATTTCTGAGGAACATGCACTGGAAAAATGTATAAAGGTACCAATAGGGTTTTCTACATGTGGAAAGTGATGCGGACAGGAACATTTGAAGCAAACTTGCATAGCATCTAGACGTGTTTTATCCATGACCCCCACTGATTTTGAGGACATTGTGGCACACAATTTTATAATTACTTTTACCTCCCTGTGGGAGGAGTTTTTCATTTGTGTAACTAAGCAATGTGTTCAAATTGTGTGGTATGTGATTGGAACCCAGATTTGACAAAGACCCCAGTGGGGGTTGAAACATTGGGTGAATAAAATGTTCATTAAAACATGCACTGTTTTTGTCTGATATTTCTTTAAAACAGAGCACTTATTTATAAAGAGGTCTGGTAGTATTTATATCCCTTACTTGATCCCACAGTGAGAATATACTTTTGCCTCTTTATAAATCGCTTGTAAGACTACATCTTGAATAAGCTGTGCAATTTTGGGCACTTGTTCTAAAGAAGGATATTATGGCACTAGAAAAAGTGCAGAGGAAGGCTACAAAATTAATAAAAGGAATGGAACATTTCAGCTATGAAGAAAGGTTAAAAAAATTAAACCTCTTTAGTTTAGAAAAACGTTATCTCAGAGGGGATATGATAACATTATACAAATATATTTGTGGCCAATACAAACCATTATGAAGAAATCTATTCACAAACCAGACTTTACATAGGACACAGGGTCATGCGTTTAGACTGGAAGAAAGAAGATTTAATCTAAGGCAAAGGATAGGGTTTTTTTTACCATAAGAACAATAAGGATGTGGAATTCTCTGCCTGAAGAAGTGGTTTTATCAGAGTCCATACAGATGTTTAATCAGCAGCTAGATGCATACTTGCAAAAACAGAATATTTAAGGATATAATCTTTCAATGTAGGGTAATAACTGCTTGATCCAAGGATAAATCTGACTGCCATTCTGGGGTCAAGAAGGAATTTCTTTCCCCCTAGTTTGTGCAAAATTAGAAGTGCTGCAAAATGTTTGTTTTTTTTGCCTTCTTTTGGATCAACAACAAAAAACTAATATGAGGAAGGCTGAACTTGATGGACACATGTCTCTTTTCAGCCTATGTAACAATGATCCAATGACCTCAACAGGGACTCATACTTACAATCGTTTATATAGCACCAACATGTCATATTCTGCAGCGCTTTACAATAGGAAAACCAGACAAATATTTCATTTGAATACAAGGTGTATGACATATGGGAAGAGGACTCTGCCCAAACCAGTCTACAATCTAAAGATTCATACCTTACTGGATGCATTGTATCCTATATATTTTACTTTATATGTTATTAATATAAAATAGATAAAACAACCTTAAAACTTCCCAGTTTATTATACTCCCTCGAGGATCAAGTGCTATATTTTGTTATTATCACAATCGGTCAGTAAACATCTTATGCTAACAAGGTTTTCTCTGTTATTTTAAGGTTACAAGCTGTATGCAGCCTTTCATTCATTGAGTTAGTCCTTAAAGGGGACTTGTAATTTCTTTGAAATTTACACCATTTAAAATCACCTATAAATTGTAATAAAATAAAATAAATTGTTATTATATCTATAATATAAAATGTTGTCAAATTTATAATAAAGATTTGAAAATGACATCAGAATCCAGTACAGACAAGGCACAGCCAGGGCACACAATGCAAATGAAGAGGAGAAATAAAAACATTGTATCATTTCTCCTCTTCACTGTCTGCTCTCTCAATGCTGCCTGCCAGGTGCAAATGACAGAACGTATAGCAATGATTGACAGGGAGCTAAGATGGAGGCGCCCAGTTACAGGATAGAGGTGTGTATTTCTACGTTTAATTTTATTTTTGACACCTCACAAATGCACATTTGTTAAATAGAGATAAGTAAACTATTTTATATTGTTATTTATAAAGCACCAACACATTCTGCAGAGCTATACAATAGGCGGACAAACAAATATTTGAAACAAAACACATTGGATGTCTCCTGGTCCCGCTTTTATATATTTTGACTCTTAAACCGCTCGCAGTGAGCATAAGAAACAACTATCAAATTAAAGGAGTTATTCTGAATCATTCTGAATTTAAGATCAGCCTATATGCTGATGAAATAATATTAACATTGTCTGATCCGGATATATCACTAGGGGCCTTGTTTCGGGAGTTGGAAGACTATGGTAGAGTTTCAAACTATAAATTCAATATTGGTAAATCCCAAGTTATGCCCATCAATTTAGATTTTATGACAATTAATAGATTATCAGTTAAATATCCCTTCATTTGGTCATCGCAAGGTTTTAAATATATTGGGATTCATTTCTCTTATAGCTTAAAAGAAATGATTGATGAAACGTGGATAATCTTATATAATACAGTAATAAATTACTCAAAGAGTGGATAAACATAGGAATTTCCTGGTTGGGAAGAATAAATATCATCAAATCATATATTCTACCTCATTGGTCATACCTGTTCAGAATGATCCCTTTATCTATAACAATAACTAAACTTAGACAGATTCATAAATTATTTCTGAATTACATATGGGATTATAAGAGGTCAAGGATCTCGATCTTACATGTAATGAAAAAGTCCAGTAAGGGTGGCCTGGCTGTCCCAAATCTTATAAAATATTATGAAGCCTCTAGGCTGTACCATCTGTGGAGATGGCAGGGCCCAACCACAATAGAAGAGCCTTGGTATAAAATTTAATCCTTTCTGTGTAATTCAAAAGATCTTTCTAATATGTTATGGATTGATGTTGGGGCTAGTGCAAAAATTCATCTCCAACATAGAAACTTCATACATAAAAGATATCTATGAAATTTGAGTAAAATACAGGAAAATAAATCACATTTTAAGTAAAATTTCCAAGTATAGTCCAATTAAGACAATGGAATATAATATTAATGACCTAAATTTAGGTAATTGGATCAAATTTGGTTTATTATTAGAATTTAATAAAATAAGGTCTTTTTCATATCTTCAATTAAGTCTTGACCTTCATTCAAGAGAGTTATTCTCATACCTAAGAATCAAAAATTATTTGGATAACCATCTGCTTTATGACAACACTAGGATAAATAAAAAATTAAATGATCTATTTAAAAATAATACTAATCGTAAATCGATATCTAGTTGGTATGAAATATTGAGAGAGGAGGAAAAAGAGTCTAAACCAAAAGCCTGGAGAAACTGGGAACAAGAAAGTGGGTCTACAATCGAGTTAGAGCAGTGGTATAGATCGATCAAAGAAGTTAAACAATCGTTGCATTGTTTAACTATCATAGAGCTCCATTATAAAATTCTTCAATGGCGTAGGGTACCAAAAATTCTAAATAGAATCAACCCTGATAATTCCAAACTCTGTTGGAGGTGTACTTGTGCTGAAGGTAGCTCTAAACATATCTGGTGGGGATGTAAGCTTTCAAGACCATATGGAATAAAGCATTTAGAGTTATATCAGATTTAGTGGGAGAAGATTTGGAAGATAACTCAATGGTTGCTCTTTTTCATGTTAATTTAAGAAGATTCTCAACTCAAAATAGATATCTAATAATCCAACTTATGATGGCCATAAAAATAGAAATATCAAGATATTGGCTACAGAAAAAGACTCCATCTTGGATCCAAGTGCTAACTCAGCTTAAATACCAACACGATATGGAAAGGGGAATATCTTTTCATTATGATAGCCACTGATGAGAAATGGTTACCTTGGTTAGATAATCTGATATAAGTATATGCCGTGTTGCGTTCTCTGTTATGAATATCCTTATAATTAAAGATCACTTTAGTTCTTCCCTACGGTACTGTATTCAGGAAAGTTATGAAGTAACTTAATTATTATAGTTTAGGCCCGCCTAATCCCCTCAGTCCTTTTAAATTGTGATATTTGTGTTTTTTGTGTGTGAATTTTACTCAACAGTTAATTTATCCTTCCATTGTAAATCAAAGTCTATGTCTAATTCTGAACTGTTTTTGTCTGTGATGTTACATATGTAAAATTTGCAAAAAGAATAATTAAAAAGCAAACAAACAAACAAAAAAAAAACACATTGGACATACAGGAACGGAGGGCACCGAGGACCTTGTTCACACAGGCTTGCATTCCAGGGGATTAAAAATCCTATGAAACAACAGTTACATTTAAAAGTTTAAAGAAATGCAGAACATACTTTAAACGGACTCACTTAATGTCTGAAATCTTTTCATTTTAGCCATTTTCATGAATGGAAATTTGCACGTCTCATTTTACAAAAAGGCGAACTATAACTACATTTTACGCCACTGGATAAAACATTGAAAATCACCAAATCACCAACAACTTGTGTTAACTTTTTATTTTATTTTTTTCATAAGATGTTCTATTATTTTTTTTTTTATTTATATTAATCCATCAGGGCGCATGATGGAATTATTCTGTTACCTCAGTTACTTGGTTACTGGGGAACCCCTTGGATCTTGATACCGGTCGCTCCCCTCTCAGGTGACCAATGAGCTGTGTTCAGTGCTCAGGGTGTGTAACTCTTTAAATTACTGTGGCTGAACTTCCATGTTTATTCTATGTGAGCCACTAAAATCCCCCAATGCACCATAGTCCCAGATCATTTTGCCATTTTTTTGTGTAAAACTGCACGGGCTAGTTATTATTTCATCCCTGTATTTTCACATGTGACATAGGAATGCAAAGGGGATTCTGTACTCAGGAGATATTGCGGAGAATGATTTAGTGATTTATATTACGGTTTCACACATCAGGTTTACAAAATAAATGGCTAAATTGCAATGTGCATGTAAATTTTTTTTAAAAGATTGTAAAAATTGGTTAAAAAAATGGCTGTATAATAGGGCTCAATATATACGGTACCACTTTCACAAATGGTATGCATGTATGGGGTAATTTGAAATTTCAAACCGCTAAAATACTCCAAAATGAGAAACAGACCCATAAAAATTTGAAAGGACCACTCTAGGCACCCAGACCACTTCAGCTTAATAAAGTGGTCTGGGTGCCTGGTCCAGCTAGGGTTAACCCATTTTTTTATAAACATAGCAGTTTCAGAGAAACTGCTATGTTTATAAATGGGTTAATCCAGCCTCTAAAGCCTCTAGTGGCTGTCTCATTGACAGCCGCTAGAGGCGCTTGCATGATTCTCACTGTGAAAATCAGCGTCCATAGGAAAGCATTGTAAATGCTTTCCTATGAGACTGGCTGAATGTGCGCGCGGCTCCTGCCGCGCATGCGCATTCAGCCGAAGAGGAGGAGGAGAGTTCCCCGCCCAGCGCTGGATAAAGGTGAGTGTTTAACCCCTTCCTCTCCCCAGAACCCGGCGGGAGGGGGACCCTGAGGGTGGGGGCACCCTCAGGGCACTATAGTGCCAGGAAAACGAGTATGTTTTCCTGGCACTTTAACTGTAAACACTGTAATGGTCAGGTCTCTCATATGGCTCTGTAATTTCACAAGATAGTGGCAAAGGCATTTATTGGAGGTATTGTTTTATTCAGAAGAGTTTTCTAAGCTTTGTTTGGGGGATTTAATCATAATGGCACACAGTAGGTTCAAAAAATGCAAGAAGTATGTAAAAGATGCAACAACAAAAAACCCATCCAAACTTTTAGCACACACGTTGACATAAACTGATAAAAACAATGGTGGCATGATAAGGCACCATATAAGATACCATGGATCGGGGAGTTGACACATCAGTCAGCCCTGCTAGCGACCGGTTTGGCGAACTTATTACATTTTAGTAACAGGTTCGTGCGAACCGGTGAGAACCGGCGAGAACCGGCTGAATCCCACCTTGATCGCGCAGCCACAGGAGCAGGAGGTAAGGTCTGCCAAATACATTGATTTTTAGAAATACTTTTCCTTAGCTGAACTAATTACGCACACATTGTTGCCAAAACTCTGAATTTTTATATGCATTTGTCACACCAAATTAAATCCCTTTTTATCTTTAAAAAAAAACGGTATACAACATGTGTTGAGAAAGATTAAATTTGCGGTTGAACGTGTACATAGCAAAAATGACTTGTGTCCTTAAGAACAAAACAGGCAAACCGAAGCCGTGTCCTTAAAGGGTTAAAGATGTAGCAAATGACAATGTAAGGCACAGCCTGGGCACACAATGTAAATGAAGACAAGAAATAGAAACATTGTTTAATTTCTCGTCTTCTTGTTGTGCTTCCTCCATGCTGATGCCTGGTGTAAATAACTGGGCTTGGCACAGAGCTAAGATGGAGGAGCCCAGTTGCAGGGTAAAGAGGTGTTGATTTCTACATGTCATTTCATTTGTTTTACACCTCACAAATATGTACCATACTGAAATGAAATACAGAAATAACTAAATGTAATGTAGGACATCCTGAGAAGTGACAGTTCCCTTTAAAACGTTGTTGGGAAATAAAAACAATAAATCGAAACAAAAGGAAGATTAACCTTTTTCTTTTTTTCCTCCTTGTCGGACGCCTTACAGCAAAATGCAGCTGTTTCCTGTTTGCAATGAGTTAAGCAATACTTTTACAAAACCAGAATTCTCTCTTTTCAAATAAACTCTGCATAAAACAAAAACAATAAAAACGAAATCAGTTAAAATACTAAAACTATTTGCAACAAAATGTGTGTTTGGCATGCACAAGGTTAACGTATCACCAGCCTTTAACCAAAACAACAACAACAAATCGTGAATCCCTTTTAGGCTTTTGATGCATTCGATAATATTTTGAACAGCCCTTTGTCATTTACCCCTTATGGACCAATAAAAGTTTATGCCACCATAATAATCTGAAGGGAGATTTATCAAGGCAAAACCAGGTGATATCTTGGGATAAAAACACTAAATAAGGAGCAATCCCTATGGAAACCAACAGAATGTGTCAACACTTTGCACCCAATGGGGTGTCCTACTTGGCAGTACCGTGCAGAGTTGCTGCAGCTCACTACGTAGGGACAAGAGCACCCACTGTAAAGCGCTGCGGAATTTGTTGGCGCTATATAAATAATAACATAATAATAATGACATTACATGCCATTGTTTCCTAATGGAATAAAAAAGTATGTTGTTTGCTGAATATCATATTCATCGGACATTGTCAGCTTACCTCCCTGCTCGCTTAGCAAATCCATACTGAGTGATGAAATCACTGTAAACCAGTAAGTGTCCGCGTCGTCGTACGATTATCTTTATCAGTCTGATTACCAAGTTCTAAAAAGTATCAGTAAGTTTCTCATGCCCCAGTCCCTAACTATGGTCGACAAGACTCCAAATTCCAGACATTTTCAGTCAAATTATTTACTTGAAAATAAACAAAGAAATATGTTTTTACAGGGGAGCCTTCGACTGCAGAACAGAAAGTGAAATATAATGTTGTGTGCATAATGATGTCACAGTTTGCTGGGCTGAGCAACAACTGGGATGGGAGGGGTGTGCGTCAATTTACAATAAGGAAGTACGTGAAATGATGTGTGTGAGTCTTGTGATTCTTTTCTTAAAGGAAAACTCCACACATATATAAGCACATCAGCTTGCTGGAGTCTGTCATTTTTTGACTGCTTATAAAAATGCTGATTTCAACACTTATTGTTTATTTCTCATGCATTATCTTTAGAATACATTTGACATGCAAGTCGGGTCCAACCCAGTGTGTCATTGAAGCAGTACTTCCTAAGCCTGGGTCTGAGACCCAAAATTGGTTCTCCTTGCATTTGCAGTGGGAGAGGAATATCCCTAAAATAAATTGGTTACTGTAGTGGTTGTGCATTCACCGTTGGCTTGCGAGACTCCCGGAGCTTCGTTTTATTCCCAGGGACCCATTGTCCATTCCTGCACAAAGATTATGCAGAACGTGCAGGAAATCCGTAGCAGAATGTTGTATCTAGTTTCAAAAGCTCAACATCATTGTTCCCAAAAGCATACAAGTTATTTTAGAAATAAACCCAAAATACAAGTCAGTGCTCAATTCGACATGGAGATTCGTTTTGGGCCAAACTGCAATTTGGACAAATTTGGTAAAAGATCAAGTGAGATGTGACCAATAGAGAGAGAAAAAATTATCTATATTTATATATCTAATAAATATATATATATATGCAAGATTTAATGATCGCAATCGTATAACCTGCATTACATGTTTGTGCATTAAGTGTCATGGACAGGTTACTTGTTGGATAACAGGTTACCTTTTTCTCACCTGATCTGTGAACCGAATGGTGGGAAAATGCTTCTATCAGTGTACTATAAAATATGCAACACACTGATTGGCCCTTTTTCACACCTTTTTGGTTGATTCTCCCGATTCGGTTCTCAAATATACACTTTGCCGTGCCAAATTGACAACCAGCTGAATTTCTAAAAAAAATGTCTATCTTTGGAAAAAATTATTCGACGGGACCGAAATTTCTCGCTTGCACAGGTCATTATTCCTTTAACAACTCATGACGGAATTATTCCAGCATGGATGTCCTTCCTTTCCGTAAGGACCCACAATGCTATAATTCTATCATGCTGTATTACCAGCAGATACTGCTTCTACTTGGAGGAATCTACCTAATAGAGCTACGCTATTGTGATTTTCTTTTTCAGATTTTGGCTGTATTCACCGTTTTTTTTTTTGTTTGATTTATATGTTTCACTAAGTGGTTAACCATCTTCTATGGTTTATACCTTTATCGGTTTATTGCCGTATAGCCACAGGGAGTTATCATCAGACTGATTAAAGAATGTGCAATGCTTACATCAAATATGCTGGAATTCAATACATGCATCTTAGCGACCTGTTTAAACTTATCGCTTAACATTTCAAATTTTAGGCGTGCGAGCCACATGTGGCTGGGCGGGGTTGTTCTGCAAAAATTTTAGATGACTAACTAATACCAACTTATGCAACTGGCAAGTAATTTAATACAAGCACACTGAACATTGGCATGCGCAGCTCATTTCATTAGGATGTACACACGGGGGCGGGTGGTGAGCGTTGGGGTGGCATAACAGTGATGTACCAAAGCATGAGTGAGAAAGTGATGCAGGTTGCATCAATGGTGATGCCCAGAAAAGGTGAGTCCACCCAGAAAGGAGTAGGCCCCTCAATAGAAGGGGGGGTCAAACTGACATAAATATCACCAGACTGACTGCCTCCTGTCTGGGTCCACACAGAGCACATCATACAATGCTAAAATGCCATCTGCATGGTCCTAGAGCACTCTGTGCGAGTGCATCTAATTATGTTGGGCAGTGATCCCTGGAGATGGTTCCCTGGGGTTCGCTGTTCTCCCCAGAGGTTGGAAACCAGGGACCCAGTCTGTGATGGTAGGTCAGGCCCCCAACATAGGAACTATCCAATTTGGGACGTTAGAATTCTTTCTCTAGGTTATTTTTTAATTGTATATAAGATGGATGTTTAGTAAAACTCTGGGGAAAGGGCAAGCTGTGTTTTGTGTAGGTGCTGGATAGCTGTAAATGATGTTGTTGTCTGTGTGTGATGTATGTCGCTGTGAGTGATGTGAGCCTGTGTGAGTATACTAGAGTGATATGCAGAGCAGTACAAGAGAGCGAAAATCTCTCTTGATAAACAATGTAAAAAATGCAGTAGGGGGGAGTAATACAGGAAGGGATGGGTGAAGGTGACAGTATGGGAAGGAATAGATGGGGGTGATAGGATGTTGTCAGAGGTCCTGGGGAAAAAAGTGTGGGAACTCACCCAAGATCCACCCCACCCACCCCGCTCCCCCCTAAAAAAAATTATAAGCTTGTATGCATATATATAGCTGGCTGAAGGGGTGACAGCGTGTGGAGGATGAAAGTAATTGGGGATGGTGATATTGTATGGAGGGGGTGTCAGTGTGTGTGTGGGAGGGTGACAGGGTGCGTACATGGGGGGGAGTGACAGGAGGTGTGTGTGTGTGTGTGGAGAGGTAACAAGGTGTGTGTGTGTGTGTAGAGTTGACAGGGTTTGTGGTTGGGGGGCTGTGACGGTGTGTGGGGAAGCAGGGTGGGTATGGCTGTGTGTAGGGGGGCTGTGCGAGGGTGAGAGGCTGTGAGATGGTAGGGACTGTGAGAGGGTAGGGGTTCTCTAAGGTAGGTAGGGGGACTGTGAGGTGGGTAGTGAAGTGGGTAGGGGGGACTATTAGTGGGTAAGGGGGCTCACTGACAGACAGACACACTAAAACACTCGTTCACTGACAGACATACACAGCTGGGTGGATTTTTTCCTGGGGTACAGTGGGGCTGCTGGCCGGAAGGAAGGCAGGAGGGCAGTTAAAGTCTAGGCGGGAATATGACGTCAGTGATGCCACCCGGAATATGACGTCAGTGATGCTGCCCACCTGGACTTTAACCGCTCACCTGCCCCGAAGGTAACAAGGCAAATGCTGTGGAAAAAGTACAGGAATACCGTTCCCACGCGTTCCTGCAGGACTCGAGCCCTGGATGTTGTGGAAGAAGGGAAAGATATTGGGGTGTAGGTGGGAGTGAGAGGAGTGGGGTGAGAGGAGAAATGGGCCAGAGTGATAGGAGTGTAGGGAGAGAGGGAGTGATGGGGCTTCAGGGAGGAATACGTGGGGGTGATAGCTGGAAGTGATGGGCAGTGAAGGAGGAATGAACAGTTGGATGAGAGTGATGGGGATGAGTTTAAAGTGAGGCATGAGTGGATGAGTTTAAAGTGAGGAAGAGGAGAGATGGATTAATGACAGAGTGGATGAAATTGGAGGAGATGAAGACAGTGCTCCACATTCTGGCCCGGAAAGAACCGATCAGCCATGCTAAATTAAAAAGTGGCGGCACATGACCCATTAAGGAGATCTGTTACTTTCCCCTGTCAGTTGTGATGAAGCCGGCACTCTGGCTTTCATAGGGGTAGCCTAGGCACACCCCGTGCGCACGCACCCATGACAATGTATCTTATCTCCACAGACTAATTTCTAAACACATTTATTGTAGTTTAAAGACACATTATTGGGAGTATTATTGCTGTGGAGCTCTGTTATACACTCACACACCAACAATATGGAGCTCCTAGTAAACAGGGACATTAAGGGAGAGACAGATTGGGGCCAAAATAAGTACTGTCCCTCCTAAACAGGGACATTTGGGAGGTATGTATTTAATACATGCACAAATAGCCACACAGGCACGTGTTTACACAAAAATAACCGCATACATACACTGATCAGTCACAAACACAGCCCATCACCATCAATGGGGACGTAAGTGTCAGAATAGCCCAGAGCATAACACTGCCTTCTATGGTTTAACCCCTTAAGGACACATGACGGAATTATTCCATCATGATTCCCTTTTATTCCAGAAGTTGTGTCCTTAAGGGGTTAATGTTCTGCTGGGAAACCTTGGAACCTGGCATGCATGTGGATGTTATTTTGACAAATGCCACCTAGCTAGAGACCACGTACACCCCTTCATGGCAATGACGTTCCCTGGTGGCAGTGGCATCTTTCAGCAATAGTTGACAAGGAGCTCAAGGTTTTTCCTTAGTCTTCACATTCCCCAGATCTCAATCTGATTAAGCACCTGTGGGATGTGCTGGAACAACAAATCCCATCCAAGGAGGCACCACCTCGCAAAAGGATATGCTGCTAATGTCTTGGTGTCAGATACCACAGGTCACGTTAAAAGGTTTTGTGGAGTCCATGCGTCGAAACACTAGAGCTGTTTTGGCAGTACGAGGGGGAACTACAGGCAATTGGAGTGTTAAAATAAATAAATAATCAAACCCGGAGTCCAATTTTGCAGCCATCCTTGAGATTCTTGAGTCCGCATCTACTAATCTAGTCACTGCTGCTGCAGCCATCGTTGACCAGCTGTTTGCCATTGTAGCCACTCCTGCACAGCTGCCCTACCCTCCCGTCATTCCTCACCTGATTGCAACGGCTGCCATGTAAGAGGCAGGGACTCAGCTGATGCTCCCTGTGGCTGTGTCCTGCTGGCTGCCATTGACATATCTGATGAGTTGTTAGTCTCTGCTAGTCCCATGGTGGATACTTTTGTTGCTGGTCCTGTAGCGAGAGCAACATACACCATTATTAAACAGTTTAACAACTAATAGATGGTATATTTCTTATTTTTGTGGGAAATAAAATGTACACGACATTATTACTTGAAATCTACAGTACTAATAGTGACCATGAAATCTGTATCATCTGCTCCTATTGTCAAATCACTTTACAGTATACAGTTTATCAAATTTAAAATTATATTCTAATACATAGGAAGACATCTTCAAGGGCACGAGAGGCACAATGGAATCCGAACTCTGACTTTCAACAGTATACAAACACTGAATGTTACCAATAATACGATTTTACAAAAATTAACTTAACAATTACACAGCACTCAGAACTCAATCACTCACAGTCACTACCCTTGTAGTTACACACTCATACT